ACATGACCTTGCCTTGCTGACCCTGACCTTGCCTCGCTGACCCAAACCATACCTTGATGACTTGACTTCCATGCTGACCATCAATCTGCCTCACTATTATGGACTTGTCTGGCAATCACTGGGTTGTTGGCTAAATTTGGTTACACAGACAGACCTGTTTCATTCTTCTCAGTCAGGTGAGGCTCTGTCCCCACTTGCGAGACCACTGCCCTTCTTGCCTTACCGTCCCCTTGCCTCCTATTTCAATCTCCCTTATGAAGCAGCCCACACCGGATGCTCTCTGACCAAAAAAAAAAAAAAAACCAAAATCGAACATAATAAAGTGATAACCCAACAACTTCAACAGGTGACAATCTATCCGGAGAGCCACAGAGCACATTTGAGTGGGTAGCTACTATGTTACTAACATGCAGAGTCTTTCTGTGCTCGCCTCTGAAGGCCCTCTCCTTCTTCCACTGTATTAGCAAGAAGACCACCTCCAAGTTCTGAAAGATTAATAAGCGACTGTTTCACACAAGTTTTTTTCATCAAGCACCAGAGTAACATAAGGTAAAAAAGCTGCATCTTTACAATAACCAAGGAGTAACAAGTCCGATTTCAAAAAGTTAATTCCTTGAACAAGTGTTTCCTGTTTGCAAAGTGCCTCTGGAAGGTCTAAAGCCATCAAAAGGTGAAATTTATGCTGTCCAAATTTGGACCATATTGTTACAGACCTACTAAGGGCAGACAAACACCTGCTAAGTGGTGGTGTACCTGGAAATTCACAAAAGGAGAAAGGACAGACAAGAATTCAAGGTGAGCCATTTGACCAGAAGAAAGGCTATAGATCTAGGTTATTTCCTGTGGTGCCCTCCCTCCCCTCTTCTCATGAAAACACTTAGATAAAAGGATATCATGACTATCAGTTTATGCTATCCACCAGATCATCAGATAGGAAAATTGACCTGTATGTTTTATGTTGTAAAATCAATAAAAGAAAGGGGGGAAAAAGGCAAGAAAAAGAAAAACTGCAGCATGAAAATCTGAGCTGCTGAGCATACTAGTTCTCAGGCCATCTTTGTGTATTCACATTGAGTGATATAATATACTTCTCACAATTTCACTACAGATTAAAATTTCACTGGATGACAATGTTCTCAAAAAATACGTTGTCTTGACATTTAGGAACTTCAGAGTAGATATTAAAGCAATACTGAACTTCAAATTACAGGTTCAACTTGCCGAATAGAATTGTTAGACAGAAATACAGATGAATGACACTCATCCTGGATATAATGCATGCAGGTGATCACTGATTTCAATGAAATACAGGCACATACACCAGCTGAGTGCCCAGCTTTGACACGTATCAAGATATAGTAAACAAAATTTCATACCTGTAGCCATTGTCAGCAAGGACCAATGTCCTGGTCCTCAGCTGCAGAGCTGTGGGGATGCATCAGCTGAGAATCTCAGTCCATATCTTTGGTTTGAGTACAACCCAAACTGGATTACAGTTCTACATTTCTGGCAAATGACCCTTCATTTCCTAATCCTCTTGACTATAACTGTTGTGAATTGTTTCTATAGTGCTGCTAATTGATGGCCTTATCCAGAAGCCTTTACTCACGCAGAGATAACAGATCTACTTCTGAGAGGAAGGTGTAAAAAAGAGACTTCAGACACAGGTCCAACATCAGACATTAAAGGGTATAATTTGTCATTTTTTACATTATTAAGAATATTTGTGCAGGATCTATAATTAAAACAAAAAGAGATGTCTCCTTCTTTTGCCAGCAGCTGTGTTACATCAATTAAATGGGTAAATAAGATCTTTCCCCAGAGTGGGTATCATGTGACCCTCTATTGATTAAGACTGCAGTAGAATGTTATTTGCACTCTTATTGCATAATGGAAATCAGGAGGTAGCTGTCATGGTTTCAGAAGACAAATTGCTGCTATCTCAGACAATTCATAGGCCTCTTTCCTTCTTGCTGCTCTTAATTCACAGTTAATGCATGTCTTACAAGGCTTAGTTTCTTAAATCGGTCTACAGCACTGTATTCAACTCCAAAAGCAGTGGTCTATGTGGCCCTGCATTATGATGGGTATTAAAGTGACCATTCCATCTATCATTACTTCCAAACCATGCATCATTTAATAGGGCTGCACAACTTCAAAAAATTACGTGAAATTAAAAAGAGACACCTCCCGTAGGGTACATGATTGCTCAGAGGAAAAAGAGGCCTCCCCCACCAGGCATAGCTTCAGAGGTGCTCTCCATAGACAAAGTTTTTAAGCCTTAGCCCAGTTTTGTGTACTTGATTTTCACAAGGAAAACATAAGGCTTGAACAAGCCCACTGCTCTCAAATCTGTGCAGTAAGTGCACCTAGGTATGAGTTTTGAGATTGTAATGAACACCTAACCACAACACAGCAGACACTCTCCTCCACTGAATTGCAAATCCTTCATTATGTCCTTCATGGGAGAAGCAGAGGAAAGGACAAAAATCCCCCTTTGCCAATTTGAGAAATCTTAAATAAAATTAGAATATTTCCTTATTTCTAATCAATCTCTCAGTCACAACAATTAGAAAAGAAGTTACACACTTTTCAAAATATGTAACAGCAATATTTAACATTACCAGAATCTTCTCCGTCAAAGTCAAAGCAATGGCCTTTCACTAGTCTTCAGTGGTTGTGAAGTTGTAGGACATAAGGCAAGAATTCTGAACAGAAGGAACGAGTCTGAATAACTGGGCAAGAGGACAGTAATATATTCAGACAAAAGTTACAGTCATTCCATGTGTAGAAAAAAGTGCTAAACTTATCATCTGTTTGCCATTGCACAGGATTAAAAATTAAATGTCTGCTGCTTGATTTGTTCCAGTTAAGTTGATTGATTAGAATGTGTTCATCTTCCCATCTAGTTTAGCAAGCTTAAAAGCAGCAGGTTTACTTTTCCGTTGTTTGTAACATCAGAACTTAATGAAGTATATGGAAGGAAGCGCCAGGAGAACTGTTGACCAAAAGTAATCTCTCACAAAGTGATAACAAAGTCTGGAAAAAAAACATCACCTTGTAAAAAATATGTAGGAGGTTAAGATTTTTAGGAAATCAAAGATCCTTCAATACACTTCATTTGGCTAAACAAGCACATCAATAGCATTAGATTATTACTGGCATATCTTCCTAATTAGCAAAATTATCTGTTCCTCCTATAGATGGATTTGTGTTTAAACCTTGTATTTCATCCTCCTGGAAATCTGGCAAATCAACTTTAATTAGTCTTGATGAGCACAAATGCTTAATATGGAGCCAATGAGAGTACTGGAAAAATAAGGCACAAATACCTGAAGAATTAAAATGTGCTCTGGTTGCTTAGAACTTCAAAAAAGGTATTTGGTATCTTAAATTAGGGTCTGCAATCATTGCTCTTTTTTTCCCCTCTATTTTGAAAGAGCAAACCAGTCATTTCAGATTTCCTAATCTAAAGAAGTCCTTTCTTTTTTAAAGAAAACAACACAACCACTTCACTTATTTCATTGTCTTGAAATGTAAAAGAAAGATAGAAAGTGTTCCTTACCTTAAAAAGTCTTAAAATGTTTGCCACCATAATGGACACAGAACTCGCTGCAGCACCTATCACACCTGATATCTTGTCTGGCTTGGCGAAAATAGGTGGGTCACCATTAGCACACTTCACATCTGAACCATCTTTTTCTATCAACGCTTGCACAAATGTTAAGGATTGCTCCAATGCATAAGTGTCCCTGGAACACGTGTCAAGGATCCGGACACCTAAGGTGATATTGGTGAGAAGATCAGGGTCTTTATTAATCTGATCAATTGCATATAGCATTGCCTCTAGTCTGTGGATCCCTTTCTCCTTCTTGAGCTCCCCACAAGGCACCCCTCTATCCCCTTTTGCATGAACGGGGAACAGTCCTCCCAAGATGATGTCTCCATCCAGTCGGATAGAGTGGGCATATTCCTGACCATGAGTTCTTTGCATCAGGGTGAGTATCCAGTAGAATTTGGCTGTTAATAGGAAGAAACAATGGCAGGAAACTAACCGTTTTCCTTCGTATACCATTTTCTCTGAAGACTTTGTTGCTATCCAGTATCCAGATTTTCTTCTTGCTAAAGGATGAGGTTGACCTTTTGAAGCTGCACTTTCTGGAGGCTACCATCAGTGCCCAGTAAGTAATATAGAACCATGCGGCAGGAAGAAAAAGGATCTCAGCAGAAGTACATAAAATGCGTTTTACAAAAGATGTCCACTGATGTCATGGGTTGATCAGCTTTTCCAAGAGGTGGTTTTCAACTGCTTTTAATTGATGGTGAAGTGTAGAGTAGTATCTCTGGTCCTGGTGCTAAGAGGAGGTCAGTAGCTTACGTCCTTGTATTTTGCCCTGAAGCTGAGGTACTTCTGAAAAAAACAGCAAGAAATACAATTAAGTTCAGCAGTTTTATACCTGTCACACAGTGTATTTACTTTTGAATATCAGTTACATCGCCTAGGCTTTACTTCTGATGTTCTGTAAGGCAGTAATTATTGGCCTTCTGTGAATTTGAACACCTGGCTGCACTGTACTACAAGCAGGGAAACTGATGACACCAGCAAAGCAAAAGCCAAATCTGGGGAACTAAACTTAGCTTGCTGTTCAGATTCCAACCAGTAATTCATATTTACCTGTGCACTGCATGACATCCAAAAACTGATTTGATCGGTAACACATTGTATTTTCTGTTTTGCTGTATCATTCTGCTCCAGAATGTAACTACTTACACTCTCACTCACAGAGAGGTTCCATTTATGACAATGGAGTAATCAGGGCTCCTGAATTGAAGTACACTGTGCAGCTGCTGCAGAACAAGCAAATGCAGTTCATTTGGGTATTAAACTGATTATTTCTCCTATTTCTCCACTTTCTTCTGGACTTACTACACAACCAAAAGACCTTCCAGATATTTTCTATGCTTATGAAGAGGTAGATGATTTCTTGAGCAAAAAGAGCACAATGTTTTCTGTTAGGAAAACAGCTGAACATCCAGTAGTCCCTTTCCAACATTTTACTAGAGCTGAGGGCCAACATTAACAGGGTCGCTATTCTCTGCTTGCCTTTGGACCATATTAAACAGGAACAATGTTGTGCCCCCAGCGACATCTAGAGAAGTCTCAATTATTTTAACAAGATCAGGATTTCAGGCTACATATCTAAACACCTGACTGACTGTTATAAATATCTCCAAATTGCCCCCACTGTAATTCTTGAGTGGCATTTATTTATTTCAATATTTAACAAAATTACTCATGCTTGAATAGATTTTTAGACCTCTGAGGAGAAGAGAGAATTAATTTTACCCAATACTAGATAGGCAAACTGTGGGAAAACACATCTGAGCCAGTTTCTCAAGACACCTGTTAAAGGCCAGGGAGTGGGCATCCTAGGGTGCAACTCATGTATCTTTTTCTTTTAAAAAGTTCTTTATTATTAAATTGATCACACTGAACAAGTACCTACCTCACTGCCTATAAGAAAATTCAGGCTTATCTGCAGATATCTACTTTGTCCCTAGTGACCTGACTGGTTCCTAATAAAAATATGATCAAATGAGAAGACAGTTATAGAAAACTACACTGTTTCTGGAGGATATTTTGAATTATTTTGTGCAATATTTTTATATATTATCTGGTAACAAAACTCAAAATGTGGATTGATAATGCTTTAAATTGTTCATCCTCTTCTTACATTTATTTTGTTACATGTTTTTTTCCCCAAATGATAATACTAATCTCACAAAAACTGAAGGAGAATTTTTAAATGGTGGCTATTTGAAGACCTGAGAAAAAGGTTCACAATGGAAAACCTTGTATTGAATGTGAGGGCATCTCACTGTGATTTGGTGCTCTGGCTTCATTTGGTGGGTTTTTTGGTAGCGGGGGAAGGAGAAGCTGAGAAGCTCCCCCTGCTCCAAACGCAACCAAGGAGCCATTAGAGGAACAACAGATGCGCCTCAGGGATTAACATACGAAAGAACTGCTATAACACCTGAGAAGAGCTGTGCTGGAGGAGAAAAGCAGTGCTGGGGAAGGAGAAGAAGGTGCCCAAGCAGAACTTTCCCTGCAACCCATGGCGAGATGGCAGCTGTGCCCCTGCACTCGTGGAGGAACATTCCCTGAAGGCGCCAGGAGGGGTGAAATTGGCCAGTGGACTTGGATTTTGTGGCCAGAGGATTTGCTGCCTGTGGACTCTGATTATGCAGCTTTGGAAGACCCCGGCACCAGAGGAGTTTGTTTCCGAAGGAGCCCGTGACTCTGTGTGAAGCCCAGGCTGGAGCAACTCCGGACCTTGTGGGAAGAACTCATGAAGGAGAGGTTTGTGGAGGACTCTCTCCCATGGGAGGGACCCCATGGGGAAGCAGGGGAGGACTGTCAGGAATCCTTCTTCCTGAGGAGGAAGGAGCAGCAGGAACCACCAGCCTGTGAACTGACTCTAAACCCCATCCCCTGTGCCCCTGTGCTGCTGGGGGATGGAGGGAGAGAAACCAGGAACAAAGTAATCTGGGCCCAGGAAAAAGGGAAGGGTGGGGGTAATATGCAAGCTCTGCTCCTTGTGTTGTCTGTGTCCTCTGTGTGTTTGATCAGTGTAAAATTAAGTTATTATTTTTTCCTCAAGTTGAGTCTGTTTTGCCCGGGACCTTAATCAGTGAAGAACCCTCCTTGTCCTTTGTCTTGACTCATGAGCTTTGTCCTCCTCATCCCAGAGTGTGTGTGTGTGGGTGGGGAGGTGAGTGAGCGGCCATGGGGCTGTTCCTTTGTTGTCACATGACATTTGATAACAGAGTAAAGACCTGAAAATGAAAGGCTCTTTACATTTACGTTTGCTTGAATTTAGCTCAGGGTTGAATCTAAATTTAACACAGTCTATGGGGATCTGTTTTCTGTTGTGTGGCTCTTTTATGTGATAATCTTATCCTCAGTTAGCTGCTTTTGGGCAAACAGTTTATAAATCTGACCAGGCTTTGCCCCAGTGAACCAAACTCAGACGCAGTCGCAACTGCAGGAATTTGACCAATGGCACTGTGTGAGTTGATCCAGCCCCAGGAGATGCTACTTATATAGCCCACACTATAAACAAAATACTGTATTCAGTATTACCTAGTCACAACTGTCTGCTGTCGTGATTGCCCTAGTAGAAAAACACTATTAAGGGGCCAAAATAGTAGAGTAAAAGTTGTAGCTAAACCTAAAACAGATGACACAATTTCCTTTCTGGTTCCACAATCAACAACCAACTCCTTAGCCTGTGCATGTAGCCTGTGCTTGTAGGTACAGGGAGCAATTCTCTGAGGCACTGAAAGATAAGACCACTCTTATTTAACACTCTGCAGAGGACAAGAAAGCACCATTGAAAAGTGAAAATATACATGAAGAAAAAAAATGATGTTTTTCTCTCTTGCTCAGCCTGAGGTCAATTCCTTACAGCTCAAGAATGCCCAGAAATTAAAACAACTGTCAGTCTTTGTACAAACAGTGATGAATTCAGCTATTGCAACCAAATTTTCAATAACAATGCAGAAGCTATAGTGAACCCAATATCCTCAGTCCAATACATTATCTGGAACTGACTGAAGGTCAAATTATTTATTTTATAGTAAGCATTTTTCAACATTATAGACTACATAAGCATTAACTGCCCTGCCTCAGATTGCATGTTTTCCTGAAAAAGTATGTTTCCTTGCTGCAAGTGTCCACAGTTTGTCTATAAAACAGAAATAAAATTTTAAAATGTTCCCTTTAAAAATGTAAGACCTTTTAGCCCTTTTTTTATGTTACCTAAGAAATAAAAGCTTCTATTACACTGCCTAATTCATTCACGCCACGCTGCTTTTCATATATTGATTAATGTTAACTTTTACAGAATGTTGTAAGCCTGTGTAGCTAAGCAGAAAGCATTTGATCTAAATGAATTCCATTTTTATCAATGAATTTTAGTGAAAAAGCATGAGCCTCTGGGCTATAAAGACTGAATGAACTTTCTTCATGCGCAGAGATTTCAATCGAAGTAAAATGCTGCCCTTTTCCAATTGACCATAAAAATTTTAATTAATGCAAGTATATTCTCGATTTGCCAATCCCCCACTGTAGTAGCTGCTCACCAGAAACATGACTTCAGAGAAAAAATTCACACATTTTCCCAGCACAGTCCAAGAGTAAGTGCACCACTAAGCCTCTCTTCCAGTCACCTTGGAATACATGCTTCTCTTGGGTTGAATTCATTAAATATATCTGGCATTATCAGAACATATTTCTATTTTTAAAGTCAGTATTTCAGCACAAATCTCCACTTGTTCTGCTAGAATATATATTTATTTTTAAACATAAGAAGGCGGGGTACTGCAAGACAGGGGACATGGAAACTTCTACATGTAGAGTCTGGTTCTGAAATTACTTCTTTCATATAATCATTCAGCTTTATGAGATAAGTGGTACTGAAGGATGGGTGCTTTGGTATCACGCCACCAGAGTCAGAGCATCGGCATGTTCCTGGACCAGGACAAACAGTCACTCTTCCAGCCACAGACTCATTGCACTGAGGGATGGGCTCATTACAAGTGTTCTTTATGTTAATGAACAAGTCTAAATAATGAGCTGAGAGTGACAGATAAATACTTTGATAAATACAATCAGCATCTCCATTTTGGTAACAAAGCTCCTGAAAGAGCCATCTTCAGCTGGCACTGAAGTCATAGCTGAAATTATATAGAAAAATTCAGTATCTTGACCTGGTAATATTGTTTATAAACATCTCACAATTACACACAGCCTCAGGAACAAAGACTTCTCCCTCCAGTAAGAGCAGAAAAATGTGTTCACTGAACTTCATGGAATATTTTTAATGGACATTTCCAGTCAATTAAACGAACCCTTTACCAGGAGAGAAAAAAAAAAAAAAAAACTATTCAGTGGGGGGAAAAGCAAATTTTTGAGGAAAAGTATTTAAAATTTCAGTTGAGGCCAAAAATTTCATTTGTCATTGCATCTGAAGCACATTTGAACTGCACCAAAAGAAAATAAAATCAATATTC